AGTTATGGTTAGAGCTGGCTGCAGAAATGTGTTTTGCAAAGTAACGTTAACACAAAATTGTTTGTGATTGTGGAAGGGACCTCACCTGAAGTTATTGTGCATCAACTAGCAGTGGCCTAGAGGTAGTGGAGAAAAAAGAAAAAGGGATAGACGTCCAGAATAAGTGGATTCAGGGTGTGTTTCAAGAGCTCCCCGACAATAACTCCTTGTTTTAAAGAGAGGCTCGGGGAAGAGTGTGTGGGGTAAATGCTTGCAGCTAGTGGAAGAGGGGAAACGTTTTTCCAACAAAAGCTTTCTAAAGGGACGGTATGACTTTAGGTAATTTCTTTCCAACAATGCTTTTTTCCTCTCCTTTTGAGCAGCCTTCCGTGTTCTAATCCCCAACACACCACAGGCCAAACGGAAGCAAAATATTCCACACTTGAATTGAGCAAATGGGACAATGCCTTGATTAGTTAAATATGCTTTGGGAAGAAAGAGGTTTTTCAGCCCTGATTAAGTTATGTTGCAAACAGTGGGACCCAATCCTCCCAGAGAGGCAGCTTGTTCTACAGTCTCAGTCCACAGGGCTCCCCGAAATGCGGGAAGCTGCGTCCAAGGACCTGCCCACCCTCAGCCTTCCGCTATGAAAGGAGGGGCTTGGGGCAAAAGATCTCAGAGATCCAGGCCAGTGATTCTTACATCGTGATGCTACCCTGGGGCTCTCTGTTGCTGAGTCACTATCATGCTTGGGAATTCCAATTAGGAGGGAATTGTTTTTACTTTATTTTAACCACCAACTGCTGCTATACAAAAGTAATTTTTAAAAAAATGAATTTATTGAGGTTGAATTTATTTAAAAATGAATTTATTGAGCTGTCAGAGCTTGAGGATTTTTGGCTGCACCATGCGGCATGTGGGATCTTAGTTCCCACACCAGGGATCAAACCCGTGCCCTCTGCAGTGGAAGCCTGGAGTCTTAACCACTGAACCGCCAGGGAAGTCCCAGTAGAAAGTAATTTTAAAAATTTGTTTTGTATAAAAACTTCCTAGATCTATTATTACTTTTCTTTTTTTTTTTGTAATTTATTTATTTATTTATCTATTTTTGGCTGTGTTGGGTCTTCGTTGCTGCGTGTGGGCTTTCTCTAGTTGTGGCGAGCGGGGGCTACTCTTCTTTGTAGTACGTGGGCTTCTCATTGTGGTGGCTCCTCTTGTTGCGGAGCACGGGCTCTAGGCGAGCGGGCTTCAGTAGTTGTGGCATACGGACTCAGTACTTGTGGCTCACGGGCTCTAGAGCACAGGCTCAGTAGTTGTGGTGCACGGGCTTAGTTGTTCCACGGCATGTGGGATCTTCCCAGACCAGGGCTCAAACTCGTGTCCTCTGCATTGGCAGGTGGATTCTTAACCACTGCACCGTCTGGGATGCCCTATTATTACTTTTCTTTAGTATTTTTGTGATTTTTTTTTTAAGTTCTGAGATAAATATTATTTATTGCAGTTATCAGACAATGGACAAGTGACATTAGAAAAAAGAAAATAATCTGTAGTAGTAATTCAGAATAGCATGTAGTTGACTACCTGGTATTTATTAATGTCTTTTTGAAGTAATTTATTTATTGGAATTTTTCTTAAAGAAATTTATAATACCTGTTTATATCAACCGTATTTAAGTACAGTGGAGAACACTGGGATGTCACAATTGCCTTAATACATTTTACCCTTACCCAGATATATTTTGATATTTTCTACACAAAATATATACTCTCTGTATTCTGAGGAGGTAAATATATATTCTGTATAAAACAGCATGTTTAAGTTGTGAATATACTTAACCATAATTTTGAAAAAGCTTGTAAATGTATTTATATCCTTACAATTTTAATATAAAATTTTAAGGGAACACAGTCTATCTGGGATCCAGTTAGAAGCACTGCTAATAGAGATGTACAAATGCAGGCTGGGGAGCAACTGTGTGCAGATTTAAGTCAAAGGGGTATGTATGTCGAGACCAGTTCTTTCCAAAGAGTTATGGGACACTATAGCGTAAGCTAAAGCCCACTGCCTGCTTTGAGCCCGTTTTTTTTTTGTTTGTTTGGTTTTTTGCTTGTTTATTTGTTTCTTTGTTGTTTTGGCCTCCTCGTGGCATGCGGGATCTTAATTCCCTGCCTAGGAATGAAACCCGTGCTCCCTGCAGTGGAAGTGTGGAGTCCCAACCACTGGACCGCCAGGGAATTCCCCACAAGCAGCTTTTGAGGAAAGAGCCGAATTCTTAGGCTTCCTAATGGCAAAGAAAACACTGAATCTTTCTCTCTTTGCATTACTTTCCGAGAGCAAGAAGGATGGTGGGGGGAATCAGAAGAGAAGGGAAAGGTGGGAAAAGAACATCACAGGCAACTCCCTCCGCCCAGAAAGGTTCTGGTTCTGAGGCCTAGAAAAGAACATGTAAAGAGCACAAATTCTCCTTTAAAGCAAAGAGAGGGATAAGAGGCTAGGAAAGGCAATAGCTCAACAGTAAGCAAAGATACCAATCTATATTTTGGAGGACTTCTTTCTTTTTAAAAGTTGTTACTGGGCTTCCCTGGTGGCGCAGTGGTTGAGAGTCCGCCTGCTGATGCAGGGGACACGGGTTCGTGCCCCGGTCCGAGAAGATCCCACATGCAGCGGAGCGGCTGGGCCCGTGAGCCATGGCCGCTGAGCCTGCGCGTCCGGAGCCTGTGCTCCGCAACGGGAGAGGCCACAACAGTGAGAGGCCTGCGTACCGCAAAAAAAAAAAAGAAAAAAAAAAAGGTGTTACTGGTATCTACTCTAAAAATTATTTAACATGTGCTGTTTTAAGATAGCTGTTTTATTTTTGAAAATCTGTGAATGGTTTTTCAGTGTATGCAAACCATTTTATTTTTGCAAAAAAAAAAAGAGAAAGAAGTTATTTAAAAGGTTTTTTAATTTAAAAGTTATTCGACTAAAAGGAAGAAAGTAAACTTAAAATAACCAGAACAAAGAATGGAGATTCCTAACCATTAAGCAGAAAGCTTATCTTAGCTTCAGGCAAAGCACCCACCACGCTTTGGAGTCTGGATTCTGTGCTTAGGTGGTCAAGTAAAAACCGCAGGGACAACGTTTTGAGAAATGAATAAACTCCTCTGAAGCATGAAATTTTCCAAACTCAAATCAAGACCCATTCTCAGTTCCAGATTAAAGGAGATGGAACAGGCATGACAATTAAATGCAATGCACCATCGCAGGTGAGCCGGTGGGGGAATTGCTGTAAAGGACATTATTGAGGTAACAGAATTTCCTGAATTTGATCACTGTACTGTGGTTATGTAAGAGAATGTCCTCACTCTTAGGAAATATGGGTAAAGGGTTGACTGTCTGCAATTTAATTTCAAATGGTTGACGGGAGGGGATTAAAAAAGCAAGATGTGGCAAGATGCTAACAACCGGGGAGTCTGGGTGACGGGCATATGGGAATTCTTTGTACTATTCTTGCTTTTCAAAATTAAAAATTTTTTAAAAACACACGCCTTGGGCTTCCCTGGTGGCGCAGTGGTTGAGAGTCTGCCTGCCAATGCAGGGGACACGGGTTCGTGCCCCGGTGCGGGAAGATCCCACATGTTGCCGAGCGGCTTGGCCCGTGAGCCATGGCTGCTGAGCCTGCGCGTCCGGAGCCTGTGCTCCGCAACGAGAGAGGCCACAACAGTGAGAGGCCCGCGTACCGCAAAAAAACAACAAACAAACAAACAAAAAAAAGCACACGCCTTCTCAGAGCGTCTCTCATCCCATCTCTATCCAATGTAAAGAAACTCCTCCACCTACAAACTTTAAACTCAAGAACTCTGTAAGCACAAAATAACTCTACGAAGCAGAAGCCTCCCCAGCATCTTCCTCCAGCAGATGGTGCTGGAGTAGTAGTTTTTGAACCTAGCTTCCTGTAGAATCAGCTGGAAGCCTTGAAAAACATTTTTCTTAAGCCCTGGGATCCATGCAAGACCCTTTAAATCAGACTCTCTGGAGCCCAGCTCACAGGTGATTCTAGCTGTAGCCAGGGTGGAGAACTTCTGCATTAGATGACGTACTACTGCAGGCCTCCACTTAGATTGGAAAGGTGGATTTAAATCCAAACTGATGCCATTGAAAAGTCCTTTACTCAAGAACTTGCCACTTACAAACTTGTGTAGTGTTGCCTTGCGTAGGATCAGCCCTTCAGAAAGTAGACAAATTAAGTAGGCATCTGTTGCTCCAGTGAGAAGCTGTAGACCTCTACAGCTAGCTTCCCACCCCAGCTTTGGGGAGACTCCTGCCCTATCTTGGTGTTAATATTCCTAGGATAGATAGAGCAAAGAATCTCTAGGGAAGTGCATTGGTGTCAGGCCTCCTGAACACCTCTGTACACAGATTGTCAATGAAGGGACAGTGGTCCAGCTGGGTGAGGTAGTCACTCTGCTGGGTTTGAATATCCAGTCTTGTTCTTCATGGCCACCAGCAGAGGGAAAGGCACACCCAGAGCTAAATGCACTTAGCTCTGTTACCTAAGAGCTAGGATGTGGAAACAGGTGGAAATGCTGAATCACCCAGCTGAGTGAGGCTACAAGGACCTCACATCTCTATCATTTCTTGATCTGATTACTTTTCTGTATTCCCCACTGGACTGTGAGCTCTGACCGTGTCTGATTTACCTCCCATCTGCAGAGTCTCCTACAGTGTCCAACACATAGTTAGAGCTTGGCAATATTATCTGTTGTTGCTGTTTTTGGCATCTGACAAATGAATACTCACCAGACTGGCCAAATGTTAGCCAGCTAGTATTTTCTGCATCCCAGACCAATGAGACACTGTACTTGACACTCCTTCCTTCATGGAGACCCCAACATTAGGTCCTGGGAAACCCATCCTCCATCTGCACCCTTCCCAGCCCTCCCCAATCCACTAAAACGTCCGTCTCCCCCAGGCCCCTGGCCACCCTGGGCCTGGGGCGAGCTGGCAAGTCCCTAGGCCCAGACAGCTGGTGAAGGACTCACGCTCCACCGGGCATGAGGGGCTGGAACTTCCATTGCTCCTCCTCGCAGTCCAGGAAAAGCCGGTTCATGATCTTGTTCTTCTCCTCAGGGGGGATGAAGTTCTCGATGATTAGGTACCTGGGAGGAGGAATGAGGTAGACAGGGGATCACGTGAGACCGCACAGTGTATATGAAGGTTGAAGGATGAGAAAAAAGAAGCAAAGAGGCAGAGGGAACAGAGAAGGTGGAAAAACCAAAAAGTCGGGGGGAGGGAGTCCCTAGAGAAATAATAGAGCTTGCAAATCACAGTTTCTAATGCAAAGATTATAGACTCAGGGCCTTAGGAGTTACTTCTGGGCAGCACCCGGCATGCACTTTGCGGAGTGCATCAAATGCAGGCCGAGGAGAGGAAGGAGGAAACAGGAGGTAGAGGAAACTCCAATGGGCCCCTCCCCCACCCCTCAGACACATTCTGTTCCTAAGGTACATGGACATGGGTGAGGAGACAGTTGGAATGAAGCCTTCAGGAAAGAGAGGAGCCTGTCAGGGAGAGGCCCAAGGCCTGAGGGATGGCTGTGAGAGCCCCAGATGGAAAGAGGAGGGGCCCTACTTGAGCTTGAGCTCCCGGGTCTGCTCATTCTGTGCCTCTTCCAGGTCCTGCCGCACGCGGATGTACTCATCGTGCTGGTCCTGGATCTCCGCCTTCACCGCCTGCAGCTTGGCGTAGAGCTGGGTGGGGACAGGTGCAGCTCAGAGGCTGTGCAGTGTGGCAACCAATGTGGCTCCGCTCCGCTCACCCAGCCTGGGTCCCGACGGCTGCAGGCTCAGGGTCCACCAGCTCGGTCCAGGATGAGCCCAGGGCCCACCTCTGAAGCTCCCTCCTGCCCCACCATCCATCGGAATGGGTTATTCTAAAGGCTGCCCTGTCCCTCCCACACTGTGGCCTGTTAACCTGCTCTCTCAGCTGCTGTCCACATCGTGCAATGCTCAAATCTGAAGGGACCCGAGGGACCTTCTGGTCCAACACCCCCTTTTATAGGTGAGGAAACTCAGGCACAGACTTGCTCAAGGTTATACAACGAGATAACAGAAGAGCCGGAATCAGGACGCGAGTATCAGGACTGCCATCCAGGGCTCAGGGAAGGAAGGGAGCCTCAGCCAGTTTGCAAGGTGACCCATCCTACTCCTGCCTCTCCAGCGGCTCTCGAAAGTAGGGGTGTGGGGCTTCCCTGGTGGCGCAGTGGTTGAGAGTCCGCCTGCCGATGCAGGGGACACGGGTTTGTGCCCCGGTCCGCGAAGATCCCACATGCTGCGGAGCGGCTGGGCCCGTGGGCCATGGCCACTGAGCCTGCGCGTCTGGAGCCTGTGCTCCGCAACGGGAGAGGCCACACAGTGAGAGGCCCGCGTACCGCAAAAAAAAAAAAAAAGTAGGGGTGTGGAGGGCAGCTCCAACCTTCCTGTCCCACTCCTAACCCACTGAAAGCTGTGTCCCTGGAAACTGCCACTGGAGCTGGGCCTCTGCCTGGCCTGCTCTGGGGCAGACACCTCAGCAATCTAAGGGCTCTCCAGGTTCTTCCCAGAATCCAGACTGGAATTTGCCGCTTCCTGCCCTAGGCCCTCAGCGTATGCACACGCCTTTCCCTGGCCATGGACTTTGCAGGGTCCTGGCAGCCAACATTCTCATCCCTGGAGAGCCCCGCGCTCCCTCTCTGAGCGCTCCCAGGCTCGAGTCTCCTCAGGTTTCCCCACCACTCCCCTGGCCTGCTCTGTGCCTGGTTATCCAAACTGTGACTCACTGGTGACACCAGAGTAAAGGGGGAAGTTACCCAGGACCACGAGGATGGCAACCCTGGAGAGTGGAAGTAAAAGTGTTCCCAGCCTGTCCGGCCCCTCCTGGCCCAGGAGGAAAGGTTCTATCCCACCCCACCCAGACCCCCGCCTCCCCCTGCTCCTCACCCAGCACCCACGCAGTGTAACTCAGGGGGTCAGCAGTCCAAGCAAAGCGGGGAGGGGTCGCTAAAGCACACGCCCCTTGGGCAGGTGACGTCTCGGGCAGAGGCTGCCAGGCCCTTCCACGCCCTGACCCAGTTCTGTGTGGCATCTCACCTTCTTGAGTTTCTTGGTTTTGACCTCCACCTCCTGCTGCAGGGACGTGTAGGTGCCCCGGAGCTCCATGGTCTCCTCGTCTCGGAGCATCATCTCCTGCTGCATTTCCCGTTCGCGGCGTTTCTAGGCCAAGGCAGGGCACAGGACTCAGCGGAGCAGAATGTACCGGGGAGCTCTGCCTACCATGGAACCTGGCTTCGTCATGACCATGGGCGCCAGGAGGCAGCAGGGAGCACCCCATGGCCCACATCCATTGCTCCCACCCCATCCTCAATGGAGCCTCTCTGAACCTTCTTCTCAGCTCATACGGCCACGCTTTTGCCAAGGCACTGCCCCCCACAGAAGGAGACCTCAGCCCTAACAGCTGGGGCATTCCAGGGGTGTCAACCCCGTATACCGATGTCCAGATACTGGCTTTCCAGCTGCCTCAGCCTCTCCCATGTAGTATCACAATTGATTGGTAAGACCAACAAACTGTGGTTCTGGATGATTTAGGACACAGTCTTGCAGTTGGCAAAGAACTCACACCTTTGTGGAAGGCCCAGGAATGAGTACCTGGTGCCTTACGGAGGCTGTCCTCATGGAGAGCCACCACCTGGGCAGTGGACCCACGGGATGCAGGGCAGCATACCTTAGGTTCTCAGCACTGTAACTCCAGGGATCCTGAGCCCACGACGGCTCACTGCCCTAAGCACCCCCGTGCGACCTCAAGGCTATGTGCCCCCTCCCACCCAACCCAGGGACCTGAAGACCCCTGCCCTACCTGCTCGGCAATCTCCTGCCTCTTCAGTTCCAGCATCTTCTGCTGTTCATTGGTGTGATCCATGATGTTCCTGCCCCCGATGAGCAGCTTGCTCTCCATGGCCTGCGGACACAGAGGGGTGAAGAGATGGGCTTTGGGGCTTTTCAAAGGACCACAGCAGCCCCAGCTTGAGAGGTCTGGCTTCTCTGTTTTGTGGTCCTTCCAGGAGGGGACAGAAGATGTGTCCCAGAAGGAGCCTCATGACCCTCAGTAAGAGTGAAGTTTTCCCCTCCAGCCTCCTGGGCCCCAGCACAAGGCTCCCATTCTCAGCAGGACCATTAGGTGAGACAGAGAGGGAATCCCTCAGAGAATACAGGGCACCTGCTCTGTTTGCTTTGGATATGGAAGCTTTGCTTTGGATATACGGAAGGCCGGTTCACCACGCTTGGGAAGGGAGTGCGGTGGCAATCTAATCCTGGCAACAGGACCCAGCTGCTGTTAGGAGGCGGGGAGACACCGGATACAGTCACTGGGCAGCCCAGCCCTTTAGGTAACTGGCTCCTGACTCAGGAAGGGGGTTCTCACACAGGCAGCAGGAAAGGCTCTAATCTTCAGCTGGAAAACAGAAGAAAAGCCAAAGGGAGAAGACTCTGCAGCACTAAGGGGCACGTGGGGCCCCAGAAGCAGCATGAGCTTTGGAGATGGCCAGTCTCACCTACTCCCAACATGTGCTCTGTGCTCCAGCTTTGCCAAAAGCTTGGGCTCTACCCACCAATTGCAAGGTCTCGGCCGAGTTATCTGTCACCTCTCACGTCCATAACCCTGGAGCCGCCTCTGCTCCAGGAAGGAAAGCCACAGCAAACATCTGCTGAGTGCTACCGCTACCTGCCAGGTGTCTCCATCCTCACCCCCAGAGAGACCCCAGGCAACAAGTAAAGAAACTGAGAGGAACTAGCCTCAGGCCATGCAGCTAGTTGACAGGGGTGAGATCTGAGCTCCACGCCAGTCTCCCCACTGAGCCCCTGCGCTGTGTGCAGTACCCCCAGCCCGACCCAGCACTTGGCACAGACATTCCATAGGTGATGGTTGAATCTGAAGCTTAAATAATAAAGGAGTAGGGGAAACTGTTTAAGTTGTGACTACATTAAAATGCATTTTCAGGGACTTCCCTGGTGGCGCAGTGGTTAAGAATCCACCTCCCAACGCAGGGGACACGGGTTCGAGCCCTGGTCCAAGAGGATCCAACAGGCCGCGGAGCAGCTAAGCCAGTGCACCACAGCTACTGAGCCTGTGCTCTAGAGCACGCGAGCCACAACTACTGAGCCCACGTGCTGCAACCACTGAAGCCCACGTGCCTAGAGCCCGTGCTCCGCAACAAGCGAAGCCACCGCAATGAGAAGCCCGCGCACCGCAACGAAGAGTAGCCCCCACTCGCCGCAACTAGAGAAAGCCCACGCGCAGCAACGAAGACCCAAAGCAGCCAAAAATAAATAAATTAATTAATTTAAAAAAATGCATTTTCATTATTGCTAGTCAGAGGGTGCTGCCCGGGGCATGCCAGCTGTCCACTGATTTCATCCCAGGCCCCCTGGAAGGTTGAAATCACCTTGAGCCACTGACCTGCCTGAGGGCTCTCCAAGCAGGGTGTGCTGGCAGAATGGGGGAGCAGGGGGTCCCTGTACCATCCGTCATGGAGGACAGAGCAGGACAGGGGTCGAAGGTTGCTTTCGTGGGGTCAGAGGTTGGGCTGTGTGAGGGTGACAGAGGACACGGAGTGAAGCAGGGCCAGTCAGAGCCGCCCCACGCAGCCTCAGAGGGAGCTGTTGCCAAGCAAGGCACCCTCCCCAAGGCAGCGTAGCCAGGGCTGCACTAGCACCTCCCCCAGGCCCTGCTCCTGGCTACCATCTCACCATCCACCACCTCCACAGCACAGACTCCTTCTCTCTCACGGTCACACTTGTCCACCCTTTGCATGAGTGACTCCTTAAATTGTGTGCCCCAGGCGCCTTACCCCCCTCACCTGAGTCCCCGCCCTGCAGCTCACTCAGCCCCTTCATCTGGCCAGTCATTAAATCCCATCAAGTCTGTCTTCTGGGTACAGCTCACCTTCTTCCCTCCTTTTCATCCTCATCACAATGGCTCACTTCACTGTGGTCCCCATGACTCACCTGGATCATTGCCAGGATCTCCCCCCACCTCAGTTTCCCCTTCCAGCCCTCTCCATATGACACCCAAGGGGATCCGCCAACCACACAAGTCTGAACATGCCTCTCCTCTGCTGCAAACTATTGAAAGGGCCTCCATTCCTTGCAGGATGAACCACAAAGTCTGTAGCAGTTACTGGCCCCGTGGGCTGGTCTCACCTACTCCCCACATGTGCTCTGTGCTCCAGCTTTGCCAAAAGAATCCCAGCCCCCTGAGTGGGCTGTGCCTTTTCACAAGACCAGGCTTCTCTCCCTGCTTCACATCCACCTGGAAAATGGCTACTTCCCCTGCGAGACACAGCTTGAGCATCTTGGGAAGTTTTCTCTGATGCCCTCAACTCTGCACATTTCCTCCCTTAGTCCTCCTCAATAGCTAGGACACTTTCCTACTGTTTTCCCATATTGTCCCATCATTTGTTTACATCCTGTCTCTTCTGTGTGCTCCTTCAGGTCAGGAATCATGTCTTACTCGGATCTGAGTCTTGGGACTTAGCACAGTGCCTGGCACACAGTAAATGCTCAATATGTTTGATGAACAGAAAGGACTCCTTGGGGTAGCCTCAGAGGGGGGCTTCCAGGTCCTTTCTCTGGGCTCACTCATCCAGAGCAGAACTGGATCTTCACCTCAGCTTCTCCTTCAACTGGTCAACCCACATGCACTGGCTAAGGGGCAGAGAAGCAGGGTCTGGGCATCTGGGAAGCCTGGCAGGAGGGATGGGCTGGGTGTGAAGAGGGAGGAAGGAGGAAGGCAGCAGCTCTGCTTGTCCACAGAGGAAGCCCCCGACTGCTGCAGGCCACGACAATTGATCCCTCTAACTGTAATGGCATTTGGGGGGACCTGGTATCTGGCCTGGCCCCCATTCGAGGACACACTTGCCCGCTCCAGCCCTGAGTCCTCACACTTCCCTTGGCACGTTATGTGGCCCTAGTGTTCTTCACTCTTTGCCACCGAATAGAAAGACACTAGTTCTCAAAATAGGTTGCATATTAGAATCGCCTGGGGAGCTTTTGAAACTCCCAGTGCCAGGCCACATGGCAGGGTTATCTTGGTCCCTTCCCCTCACAAGTGGCGGTGAGAACTCCCAAGCCAGATGCTGTCGAGGAGACTCTAGTAAGGAAGACACAGGGCGACAGCTGATGCCCTGCCTTCTCCTACCTGATGTAAAGACTGGGGATGAGGATGGAGAGAGAAGCACAGGGCAAGGCACCAAGAGAAAGAAAACCATCCTTTTCTTTGCACCTGCTATGTGCCAGGTGTCTCACTCTTCTGCTAATAACCCTTTAGGCATTGAGTCTCAAACTTAGATGTACATTAGAATCACCTGGGGAGCTTTTCAAAGGCTCGGTGCCCAGGCTACATCCCACTGCCAGTTAAACTGGAAATGGAGGGGGCAGGTGGTGAGGTCCAGGCATCGGTGGTTTTCAAAGGTTCCCAGGGGATTCCAGTGTGCAAATTTGGGAAGCACTGCTTTAGCAGTCCCCAGAATCAGCATTATCTGAGAACTTGTCAGAAATGCACAATCTCAGGCCCTATGCAGACCTAGTGACTCAGCATCCGAGACCCCCAGGTGACTTGTGCAACGTGTTTTAAGTGGCATACTACTAACACCATCATTTTTCTGCTGAAAGCTCAAAGAGGTCAAGTAATCCAGCCAAGGTCACATCACAGCTGTTCAGTTTAAATGGAGAATCCAGACCCAGGTCTGCCTGGCTCCAAAGCCCATGCTCTTCCTACTGCAGACAATGTGTGGTGTGCTTTAGGAAGCAGAACCTGCTAAAAGAAAAGCAACATGTTTCCAGCAAGAGGAAATCATGTCTGACTAATCTCCAAGAGTTCTTTCAGGGACAAAATAGATTATTTCAGTCCACGGGGAAGCCAGTGGCCAGAACTTTAGAGGTTAAAATGCTCCTGGCAAGGTCCTACATCAGAGGTTACTCAAAGTTACATGGGGGAGGGGGTGAGGAGACAGAGAAACGGGAGGGGGATGAGGGAAAGGAAACAGAAATAAACAGGCACCTCTCTAGGTGGAAAAAATGTCCAAATGTTAAATGGGGGTACTGATTTCCATCAGAAATCATGCAAGAAAGGGTGTACAGGTAAAATACCAACTTCACAGATGCCTCCAGATTCTTGCAGGTGGTAAAAAGCAGAATTTCTAGGCCGTGTGAGCTGACCAAAAAATGGCAGATGAGCTTCAGTTAGAGTTTTACATTTTGGGAAAAAGTAATCTTCGCTCTACTCATTAAATGATAGCTGTGAGCGATCAGTTATAAACCAAAACAGAGGGAAAAGAGGGGGAGTAATTCTCTGTTGTTCCCAGAAGACGTTGGCTTAATATGCTGCCACAGCTAAAAAAGCTAAGAGCATCTGGCCAGGCACCATCACCAAGGCTTTTTGGAAACAACACAAAAATCATTCTACCCTAATATAAAACTATGATGCAGCTGAATCTGGAGTACTGTGTGTAGTCCCTTGCTGCATCTCCGGGGACTTGAAGGAGAGAGAAGATCCAGAGAAGGGCAGCTAAAACCACGCAAGGGCTATTATAAGAGACTTCAAAAAAAATAGGACTCTTTAGTTGGCAAAGACAAAGAAAGGTTAAGAGGATGGACCTGGAAATTATACCATCAAAACAGGTGTGAAAAGGAAAGCTCCAGGCTTTTCCAATCAATCCCTGGTACAGAGAGTAAGAGCTTGTACCTTGAGTTTTAGAACAAAGAGTTCTGTTTATAGAAGGTAATAAATTTATGGAATGTATTATCTCAGGGGTACTGGATTAAATACCTCACAGTTCATTAAAGGATTCTGGGGACACATTTTTAACCTTTTATTGTCTTTCTCCGCTTTCAGAAAACAAAATTGCACTAACATCAAATAACCACAGAAATAAAACAAAATGGGAAAAAAATTCATGTATT